GTGGAATGACGTTTCTTCATCTCTATATACATATATTCTCTATTTTACTTCAACAAAAACAGCAGCGATAATATGAATAATTGATAACGTATCCCTCAGTCGTTTAACGTGAATGCACAAAATTCTAAAATTATAGAATAATAAACGGGTAGCGGCTTTCCTTTGTTTCATCATCATGCATTTTACACTACATTCATTCCACCATAGAGTTAATTAAGTGCCACGAAGGGAACGTTTTATCTTTTAACTAAACGATACTCGGTCATCTGACATGATGTTTGTTTTCAAGTCCAGTAATTGGAACACGTATAGAAATATCATCTGTTATTTTACTGTAACTCATGTTATCTAATATAACTGATCATTAATTTACAAGACCCTGAAGAAGTTTTCAATTGCTAGATTTGAAGAGAACGACGCTTTCAGCTGATCGAGTATGAGAATATATTTAAATTTTTGTTGAGTATTATACCTCCGGGACCATCATGGCACTTGATTTGGCCTAATCTTGCCGCAGGAACCATTTCTGTTTACGTACAAACACCGTCAGAACAAGTATACCGGAACATACCTTACGTTAGTTTACTTCAATCTTTCAATTTGAATTGCATCTCTAATTCATTACATTCCCTACTCGCTACCCCCTGTCCACGATACGTGTGACTAGCAATAAATGTTACTTTTAAAATAACTTAAATATCTTTCACTCGCAAATTATACACTTATGTGCATATGTATACGTGTACGTATATATATAAATCTGTTTCACTTTCATGCCTCCGTGCTTTCCATCATTTTCTATTCATAAACACGTTCAAGTGGAATGATCGTTGCAACTGAGAGATTAGAGTATTTGACAATAAAAGAGAAGAAAGAAAGAAAAAAAACCATCGCTGAAGGATATATTAAGAAAGCCACTCTGCTAAGAAGTCGACACGCTATCTCTTTTTCAAATGATAAAATTTAATTACGCCGATTGTTTGTAGGAAGAGCGAGACTTTGCAATGGAAGTATGGATTTTCTTGGTCGTCGATTTGTCAGAATCCAAAGAGTACGTTATAATTTGATGGCTTTCACATAATGTCAATGTTCTGTAATAAAACGCCGTCGAAATAGTAAGTATGCATGTATGATTGCAAATGACATATCAATGTTAATTATTGAGATAAGGCCACTAGTGGGTGATACAAATATAATATAAATATTATAATTAAGCATAGATTCAAAGCAATGGTTAGCGACTACATAGTATGTCCAGGCAAGAATTATTATTGAAAATGAAGTCACTGTAATGTGTGAATCCCGTTGCGCACAAGGTTCAGTTATTGTCATAGTTTCATTGTAACG